CAAAATAACCAAACAAAATACGCTCTCGTGGACAAAACTCCCCTTTAATGGGTTGGTCGCACTAACTGACCTAACAAGACGATCGTTCTCTGCTGTGACCCACTCGAAGTGACCGGAACCTGTATCGTAGATTCCGACAATGCAGGCTACGGCTGATGTGAGCTTGCTCTGCCGAGGTGTAAGTTGCAGCAGTGGATCAGGAGCTAGCCACTTCGGGCCTTGATCAGGAAGTTCGCAGTGAGTGTTAGAGATCGGAATCTTCACCGCTCCGAGCGAGTCTAGTCCGTCCGTGTATTCCGGGACTGGCTCAGTGTCGGCTAGGCCTCAGGGAACTGGGGTAGAAGTACTATCTCCGAGGGTACACCCGTTCCTAGTTATGGCAACCCGCTCCACTCCGTATAATGCGCTGGTAAATTAAAAAGAATGAGTAATGCACAGGAAACAAACATGAGTGAAAACAAGCCTCATGCCCAGCAAGACGCACTGCTACTTAGTGCAAAGATGAAGAGGACAGATGCGCTGGCACATCTGGAGAAGCTAGTCAGTGGACTGCAGAACTTTCTCCAAACCAAGCAAAATGTCCACAAGGAGATCAAGTCGAAGTCGACGAATATCTGCAGTGCCCTGAGAAGGTTCAAAAAACTGGACCAAAAATGGCAGGAGATCCAACAACAACACGGTAATATCGTGATGAAGACGAGTGTGACAGCGGTTTCACCAGCAAAAGCCGACACATTTGTCGAGGAGATAGACACAGGTGGCGAGGGTGACGTCGAGTCAGTTGTCGAAGACGGAGAGGAAACTGGAACTGATAACAGGCCCGGGAAAAGGAAGGAACGAAATTCCCCAGACTCAATGACCAGCCGTACTAAGAAGAAGAAGGACCTTAAACCAAGTCCTCCGAAAAACGCGGTAACACAGAACGGCGGAAAAAAGGAGTTGAATGAATGGCAAAAAGTCCAGTCAAGAAAGTCCAAGAGAGAGCAAGCAGAAGAAAAGCTCCAGAAGCAACCGCCGAAGGAGTCCAGGCAAGAGCCTAATAGAAAAAAACCGCGCAAACGGATCAGGCCGGACACACTGATCATCCGCCCCGCAGAGACGGCAAAGTATGCTGAAATTCTAAAGCGAATAAAGCAGGACGTCCCTGACGAACAGGTCCGTACTACAGTGAATAAGATCCAAAGAACTAGGACCGGGAGCTTGCTGATTACGCTTTCGAGGAAGAGCACTGACCGAGGCCAAGCCTTACAGAAGACCATCGCGGACATCTTCCAAGAAGACGCGAAGGTAATCTGCAAAGGACCACAGGAAGACGTCGAAATCCGAAATCTTGACGGTACCACAGCCAAGGAGGATATTCAGGCTGCCTTGCAAACGGAAATCGGAGAAACCTGCGAGATACCACTAGGGACAATTAAGATTCATAAGGCCTACAGAGGTACTCAGACAGCTGTTGTGACATTACCAGCAGCTGCAGCGTGGAAGATATTGACAGGAAGCGGTAAAGTCCGGATCGGCTGGGCCAACTGCCGAATCAGAGCTACGAGGAGACCAATCAAATGTTTCAAGTTCTGGCACTTTGGACACCTTGGATCCCAGTGCAAGAGCAATGTGGATCAGTCTAAGCTATGTATTAGGTGCGGACAAGATGGACACAAGATTGCAGAATGCGAAAACCTAGCGAAATATGTATTATGCGCGGATCAAAGTGCGGAGAACTCGGCTCATCATGCCGGCGCATCCAGTCACCCAGTATTTAAAGAGGCACTCCAGAAGATAACAAACAAGCCAACGCCCAGCAGTACACTGATGGAACGACCACATTAGTGTTCTTCGGAAAGAATGTCTAAAGAAAAGAAGAATATCCCAGCGTGGCGATCGACGACCTAACTCTGCGGAGCTGGTCACAGAATGCAAAAAAGCCCGTCGATCATTGAACAAAGCCATCAAGGATAGTAAGAGACAATGCTGAAGAGAGCACATCAACGAGGTGAATAAAGACGTGTGGGGTAGGCCTTATAAGGTGGTTATGACCCACCTAAAAAAACAACAAATGCCATCACCTACGTGTCCTCAAATTCTCCAGAAAATCGTCACTGCACTGTTCCCACAGCAACGCAACTTCGATTACCCGTTGGCGCCAGGCGAACTGGACGACACTCCACCTGTCACTGAAAAAGAACTGCTGGAGGCCTGTAACCGTGTAGGAAATAATAAAGCGCCGGGATCGGACGGAATCCCTAATATAGCCTTGAAAACTATCATAAAGTCAGCTCCAACATTATTCCTAGACGTTTATAATGCATGCCTTAAGGAGGGGACTTTCCCGCATAAGTGGAAACAGCAACGATTCGTACTGTTACCTACAGGGAAGAAACCACCGGATGAACCGTCATCTTACCGCCCACTGCATGCTAGATACAGCGGGTAATATATTTGAACGCATAATTCACCAGAGAATTGAAGTAGTAGTCGACCCACTCCTGGCAGACAATCAGTATGGATTCCGGAAAGGACGATCAACCCTGGACGCAATCAAACTGGTTGTTGATACGGCCAAGGAAGCAATCGCAGGAACCAGATGAAAGGGTGGAACGAAAGAATATTGCCTGGTGGTGACCCTAGACATCAGAAACGCATTCAACTCCGCCAATTGGGAATGCATCATGCAGGCCCTCCAAGAGAAGAATGTACCAGAATACCTTCTTAAGATCGTAACAAGCTACTTTGAAAATAGAGTCTTGAAGTATGACACGAAGAACGGTCCGAGGAAGTATGATATTACTGGAGGTGTACCACAAGGTTCAGTTCTAGGCCCACTCCTGCGGAATATTATGTATGACGGTCTATTAAGACTAACTCTGCCAAGAAACGTCAAACTCGTAGCATATGCAGATGACGTAGCCGTAGTGATTGTTGCCAAACACCTTGACGAGATAAACCATATGTTCGATCTCACTTTTGAGCGCGTTAACCGGTGGATGGACGCAGTGATCCTGCAACTGGCGCAACACAAGACTGAGACAGTGCTTATTACCAGCAGAAAAGTGGTAGAGACCATTAAGCTGAAAGTTGGCGAACAAGAAATCACATCACAACCTTATATCCGATATTTGGGAGTGATGCTTGATGCCCGACTCTACAAACTTCAAGCAGCAAGTGGAGTATGTCAGTGCCAAAGCGTCAGTAGTAAGGGCTAGTCTCGCACGACTGATGCCGAACGTTGGAGGCCCAAAGCAGAGCAGGAGGCTATAACTGTCATCATTAGTCACATCGGTGCTCACTTGCGGAATATCCATTTGGGCCGACGCATTAAAGACGCAAGAATCATGAAGAAAGGCTGGATCAGTATATCGACTGAGTGCCCTACGAGTAGCTAGCGCCTTTCGCACAATATCAGAGGAAGCAGTGTGTGTTATTTCCGGTACTCTGCCTCTCAGAGTCCTAGCTGAGGAAAGACGGAACCTATATCAACGAAAAAAGTCAACCACACTGAGCCCTGAAAAACTTAGAAGCGCAGAACGGCAACACAGCATCGCAAGATAGCAACAAGAGTGGAATGCTTCAGATAAGGGTCGGTGGACGTACCGTCTCATACCTCGGGTTGATGTGTGGTTCAACCGGAGTTACGGTGAGATCAACTATTATTTAACGCAGATGTTATCAGGACACGGATGTTACCGGAAGTATCTCCACCGCTTTAAGCACGATGATACCCCAGAGTGCCCGTCCTGTCCAGGGGTTAATGAAGATGCGGAGCATGTCTTCTTTGTGTGTCCACGTTTCAACCAACAGCGCAATGAGTTAGAGAAGGTTCTGAAGAAGAGAACCCAACCAGAGTCAATAGTAGAGGCAATGTTGTCGTCAGAAGCTGCCTGAAACGCCACAAGCATTTTTGCTACAAAAGTGCTTACTGAGTTGCGATCCATTGAGAGGAAAAGAGCGAAAGACCGAATCTAGAAGGAAGAAATAACATCTTAGTCACCAGAAGGAAGAGCGGCAGCTCATTCCTCCCCCCGCGAAGAAATGCCTTACGACGGTACCGTGGGGGATCAGAGGATAGAAGAGAAAGGGGTTTAGGGTTTAGTGGGTAGAGGCGTCAGCATCGAGTTTTAGTATGACGCTGCGTCGAGTCGCCACATATCTAGGCCAACAGCTGTGCCTAGAATCCGTAAAAAGGATTCCCCCCCCCGCCAAAAAAAACACACACACACAAATACATACATACATACATACATACATACATACATACATACATACATACATACATACAGACATAGTGACAACATCGCGAGGATAGTCAGGGAAGCTTCCTGTGACCTTCAAACGTTGAGATCTGATGAAAACTCGATTTTTGTAAAACGGGGTAAAAACAATTACTTCCCGATTTTTGAAAATCTTCGATTTTCTTCGCGGGAAGTTAAAAATTTTAATTTCAGTGTGGTACTATTTTTGGAGCTTACTCCTTAAGAAACAATTTCAGATATAAGGCCCAGTACGGAAATTTTATGAGGAGTAAAATCAAGTGTAACACGAAAAGTTGAGGCGTTACGTAGAAAGAGACAAACATATATATCTGTAGGATTGAACGTGTAAAAGAATGAGATAGAATACATTACACAGCGTATCTCATTCTCGGGGTCTCCTCTTTGCGCTATACTTCGTAGTCTCACTGTATAGTTCACTACCTCCAATTTGAGAGTTGAATGTGAGTTAAGTGCGTATGTTTGTACGTGTGTGTTGCGCGCCTGCGTATTACGAAGTTCTGCCACAACTTGTATACTGCTGCCGAGTACAGGGTATGTATGCTGTATAATAAATGCATATAGTAGCATTTATTGTATACATCTATATACAACGTACATAAACAGCTACCTAACCATCAAATTTTAATGTTTTGATTTTAAAGTTTTCTTGTACTTCTATGCATTGATACGTGTATTCTTATGTACTATTAAACAAATCATCAAGTGATTAAAGTTGAAAAAATATTTGAAAATATGCAAGAAATTGATTTAGATGATAATGAAGAAGAATCCAAAAAACACATGGATGCGGTTAATTGGTAAGCTTATCGTTTACATTTATGAATAATATACATTTTAAATACGAACAGCTAGATCTTTTATTCAGTGTTTTAATTATCTTTAATTGATTGATTAAATATATTTTATATTTATATAATATTTCATAATACTTCTATTAAATTATTACGACCCATTTCTATTTTTAAATTTGAATATGTTCGAATTTGTTCATTCACAGTCCTGAAACCAGCTCGTTATTACCGTCAATTCTAAAAAAATCAAAAACTCTGGCAGAGCGACAGCGGAGTATAGGCTTCGACGAAAGCACAAAATATCAAACGATGTTTAACAAGAAAATCAAAGAGAAAATCTGATAAGAAAAAATCAAAATCAGCAAAAACTTAGAGATCAAAAGCGAATTATAAAAAAAAAAACAAAAATATAGATAAGCCAGCTAAAAAGTCCAGAGCAGATTATCAGCGAGAATACAGGTTGAGGAAAAAAAATATTAACGTAGATTTGAACTCTGATCTCGCAGAAGTCATACCAAGGGTGCCATAACAAAATAACCGCAGACAAAATAACCGCGACAAAATAACCGGACGACAAAATAACCGGACGACAAAATAACCGCAGATGAAATAACCATGTGACATTATAACCACGTTACAAAATAATCTAACATCATCGCCCGCAAATTTTTAAAAGATACATAAATTAGAAATTGTAGTGTGCCTTTTTTTTCATGGATTTTGTGTATGTTTATTTGTAAAAAGGCCAACACATAATATTTTTGCTGAGTTGTGCTCTTTTAACATGGTGTTTATGTGTATTTGATTGACATTAGATCAACACAAACGCGGGTAATCGTGTTGTGCTCTTTTAACATGGTTTTTGTGTGTATTTATTCGACATTAGACCAAAACAACCGCGGGTAATCGTGTTATGCCCTTTTAATATGGTTTTTGTGTATATTTATTCGACATTAGATCAACACAAACGCGGGTAATCGTGTTGTGCCCTTTTAACATAGTTTTTGTGTGTATTTATTCGACACTAGATCAACACAAACGCGGGTAATCGTGTTGTGCCCTTTTAACATGGTTTTTGTGTGTATTTATTCGATATGAGACCAACACAAACGCGGATAATCGTGTTGTGCCCTTTTAACATGGTTTTTGTGTTTATTTATTCGACATTAGACCAACACAAACGCGGGTAATCTTGTTGTGCCCTTTTAACATGGTTTTTGTGTGTATTTATTCGACATTAGACCAAAACAAACGCGGGTAATCGTGTTGTGCCCTTTTAACATGGTTTTTGTGTGTATTTATTCGACATTAGACCAACACAAACGCGGGTAATCTTGTTGTGCCCTTTTAACATGGTTTTTGTGTGTATTTATTCGACATTAGACCAACACAAACGCGGGTAATCTTGTTGTGCCCTTTTAACATGGTTTTTGTGTGTATTTATTCGACATTAGACCAACACAAACGCGGGTAATCTTGTTGTGCCCTTTTAACATGGTTTTTGTGTGTATTTATTCGATATTAGATCAACACAAATGCGGGTAATCGTGTTGTGCCCTTTTAGCATGGTTTTTGTGTGTATTTATTCGACATTAGATCAACACAAACCGGGTAATCTTGTTGTGCCCTTTTTAACATGGTTTTTGTGTGTATTTATTCGACATTAGACCAAAACAAACGCGGGTAATCGTGTTGTGCCCTTTTAACATGGTTTTTGTGTGTATTTATTCGACGTTAGATCAACACAAACGCGGATAATCGTGTTGTGCCCTTTTAACATGGTTTTTGTGTGTATTTATTCGATATTAAATTAACACAAACGCAGATAATCGTGTTGTGCCCTTTTAGCATGGTTTTTGTGTGTATTTATTCGACATTAGATCAACACAAACGCAGATAATCGTGTTGTGCTCTTTTAACATGGTTTTTGTGTGTATTTATTCGACATTAGATCAACACATGAGATTGTTGCCATGTAATGCCTTTTCTATCATGGATTTTTTGTGTGTTTATTAAAGAATATTTTTTTCTAAAATATTTTGTCGTTCTGTTATTTTGTAACGTGGTTGTAATGTCACATGGTTATTTTATCTGCGGTTTTTTTGTCGTGGTTATTTTGTCCGCGGTTATTTTATCTGCGGTTATTTTGTTGCGGTTATTTTGTCCGCGGTTATTTTGTCGTCCGGTTATTTTGTCGCGGTTATTTTGTCACAGCACTATACCAAGACATGAAGCAGATTCTTCCAGGTACTTGGCACCCTCAACTACGGCGCAGTCAACGCAATTAAGTCATGATGCAGGACCTATAATTATACAGCATGAAGTAATTATTGAGACTGAACGATTACCTACTATAAAACGAAAAAAGAGTACACTAGAACAGCTTGAAAATCTTCATAAAATTCCAAAATTGAAAAGAATACAACATACATCAAGAGACAATAACTTTGATGAAATTCTTCAGCTTTCAAGTCTACCTGAACTAACCCCTCGTTTGGCCAATAATGAAATAGAACAGACACAAAATCAGCCTGACGAAAATGTCGAAATTTTTGAACCGATGCAACCGCAAGACTTTTCTGATGATGATGATTGCGAATATTTGGAGTCAGCTTTTGAGCGTGAATATATTAGAAATGAAGATGGTATTATCGCCGATGAAGAATCAATACCTGGGAATGATTCGAATCATTTATATTTCGGCTATCGTTCGCATCAACCAGCACATAAGCTATTTAGAAAAATTTTCATGTAAAATTCTTTTGGTCACGTCTGTAATATTTGTGATCGCCTGTGGTTTTTGCAAGATCTGAAAAGTGGATCAACTGACGAAGAAAATCTATTAAAACAGATCACGGTATGTTAAAACTGTATTTTATAATTTACATTTGTCCGATTTTTTACTAAATCTTGTCATGTGATATTTTTCAGACTTTCACAAATGTTACGGAAGTCAAGATGTGCAAAACTTGCAAGGCCAGTGTCACGAAAGGCAATATTCCGTGCTTAGCGACCTATAACGGTTTCAGATATCCAAAGAGACCAGCAAATTTGCCGGATTTAGACATTATTGCTGAGAGACTTATTTCACCAAGGCTTCCGTTCATGCAGATACCTAGATTACATTTTAATGGTCAATTCGGAATAACTGGACATATAATTAATGTACCTGTGTCGGTTGATAATATGATAAGACTTTTACCCAGACCACTTGATGGACAAGAAGAAGACTTTTGTATAAATGTTCACATCAAAAAGAAACTTATACATAAAACTAGTTATCTTCATGGACTAGTTAAAATATCTGTCATCAAACAATGGTTGACATATCTAGTTCAGACACCTTAATATAAACATTTTAAAATCCAAGTAGATGATGCCTGATTCACAACCAATAATAACAGGTTTGTAATTGATTACACAGGCAGAGAGGAATCAAACTATGATAATAATGGACAAGTACATATTTCTTCTTAAACAGCAGATCTCATACATATTGATGAGTTAAATGAACATGTCGCGATTGATGAAAGTCTCACAGTTCAACAGCAAACTCTTATGTGGAGTGAGGATAAATTCTTACACATTGCTCCAGGTGAAAATAAAGTTCCAAAGAGTTTATTATTCGACGAGTGGGCAGAGGATTTATCGTTTCCGGCTGTATACCTTGGTGAATTTCGTGAATTCCGAGATGCAATCAGGGTGACTCCATTTATGATGATAACGAGTAAATTGCGTCGTTCAGATAGAAGAGGGACGATACCAAATAGGCTTCTTTATACTGCAATGAAAATAATGGATCTAACATGGATTTTCAATTTGTAACGGGTGGTTTATTCCCCGCTCTTATGGCCCCTGATTAAATTTAATTAATAACAATATAATAATAAATGACTCTAATACTATTCAGGGCGCCACCAGGTTTATTTTCTCGGTTCCTGAAACCGGATGCCAGAGCTGAGCTTCTTATTCTACAGGGAAGAGAGAGTGGAGGAAGGTGTGCTGTAAATAATTAAATCTTTATTTAAACAATATCCGGATTTTATTAATAACAATTCAAAATTAACAATTTTGCTGACTATTCAGCTCACTTATCAACTAACAACTTATTAACTAGCGACGCGGAGAATTAACTGCGAAATATACGATATTTACAAACGACCCTTTTTTCCAACGAATAATGCGATGACTAGCTGGGATGTTCTAACGAACGGTCTCCCACAACCTGACTTAAAACTTATTGGGCTTTTTCAAAACGAACGGTCTCCCACACCTGCCTATAACTAGTTGGGCTTTTTCAGAACGAACGGTCTCCCACACCTGCCTAAAACTAAACTTAATCCTGCAGTACCCTCCCTTGAGCGTCTATACTGCAGTTTCTATCTTACTACCGTTGTACCCCACTTGGCGTCTATACAACGGCTTCTAACTACGTCGCGTTGTCCACTTGGCACACACGCTCTAACTAAGACTATCTCTGTCTCACACCTCTACACCACACTATCTCCACACACATAACCCACGCGTCTTCACACACACATTACCCGCTCACACACACACACGCTGATTCTACTTTATTTTTTTTCCGGATTTACAAAAATCAACTCTAAAAATTTACAACATTAATTTTTCTAAAATATTTCAGTCATTAGCTCGTAATAAAACTCGTAATTTATTCTGACAAATTAACAATTTTATTTCTTAAAATTTACGGCTTAAAACCGACGCTACTTTCCCGCCAAATTTAACACGAACTTATCTCTGCACATTAACAATTTCTTAGAATATTCTTTTTGTAAATTTAACTAAACTTTTCTCGGACTTAATCCACACGAATAAATAGTTTTATAAATAACTTTACCGGAATAATGATCTTAAATTATTAACAGATTTTCCGGGACATTATTTCAATATAAGACTCCCCAAGCAGAAATTGGCCATTAAATTAGATAATAAATTATAATTTTACGCAATAAGTAAATTACGTGCCTGAAGTTTTTCTGTGGGTGTATCAGTCTTATCTGCGCCGAAATTTAATAATTAATTATCAATAATTAATAAAACGTGGAATAATTACTTTTCTGATAATTCGAGAGTGACGATTTATTAATTAACAATTTATCTCGATGTAGAAAATAAATACCGAAAATTATCCACGGTTGTTAAATTTCTTAATGCGTCGCAGTTTTCTCAATAAATCAATTCCGGTAATTAAAATTGTTCCAAATATAATATAATTAATTTTCAGTAAATAATCAAATATAAATAAATAAAATAATTAATTAAGTGGTAATTCAATTTATAAAAATTATAAAAATAGTCCAGGTATTTATTTTATAATTTTACTGGGTCACAAAATTCTTAAGGAATTTGCGTGCTCAAAATGGACGCCGTTACTGCGTAGTAGCTTGACCTCGGGTACTGATGCTAGACTGGTCGTGAGCTACAACTGGAATGTTTTCTCGATGTTCAGAAATTAATAATTTATAAAAATGAATTTATTAAAGCCAATTCTAGGATGTTAATAATTATTAACCTGCAGAATTAATAATTTAGATACTCACGACCTAACCCAGGAGGTCTGGAACATTCCTCGGGTGTAACAATCCCCAGGAGGAATTGTTCTCAAAGCTAGTAAATTAAATTGATTAATTATTATTAACAAAATATTATTAAACGAATTGAATTACCATTAATTAAATTGAAATGAGAAGTAGTATGGTCAATTGAGCCGGGTGTAACCCCCAAGGCTCATCACTACCGCAGTCCAATACCTGGTGTTAATTGGTTTGAAGAAACTCTTTGGTTGCTAATGGCTTCCTTCTTGGACTCCTCGATGTTACTTGTTTCAGCACTACACCACTTCTGCCGACACAACGCATGGCTCGCCTATTTAATGACTCCCCAAAATACCCCCTCCTACTCTCTCTCTAGGCCCGAAGATCTATGCGCCAAAATGCTAGTCAAAAAAGTTATCGATCTCTGGCGACTTATCGATTAAGGGTAATTTACCCTGTTACAAATTCATCACGGAAGAATATTTATGCGCTCAATACGTTGTCGATTACATCAATAAGACTAACAGAGGAATTAGTAATTTACAGCAAATACTCGTCAAAATAATAAATGATAATCCTGACTTTGATATTATCGCTGCTACAAAGAAGCTTAGTGTAAACGTACTCAATACAATCGAAATGTCTAGTCAAAAAGCTGCTTGGTTTCTATTACGTGAACCCATGTCCAAGACGTCAGTGGCTATTGATTACATACCAACATACTGGCTTCAACAGCGAGAACGGATAAGAAAAACGTTAAAAGAATTGGCACAACTTGAGGACGATGATATACCAATATGGAATGAAAATTGGTTCGATAAGTACGAAAAAAGACCTGTTGAGCTTAATAACATCACTCTAGCCCAGTTTGTTTTAAAATATAATGTTACTGCACAAGGAGAAGTAAAAGAAAGAAAAACTCCAAAAATTATAAGGTACAGAATTATGATTTAGGAAAAGAGTTATCAGAGTACAAGAGAGAAATGGTTACGTTACATATGCCTTTTAGAGTTGAAGAAACTAATGTTTTGACAGACATGAAATTTTTGCGTATTTTCGATGAAAATGAAGTTTTAATAATGGAGAGAAGAAAAGAATTCGAATGTAATTTAGAAATCGATAAAGTGATGGAAATTTGCGCACGATTATGTCGCGAAGAGATTGAACTCAACAACTCACAGGTAGAAAATAATAACCGGAATGAAGTTAATGCACAAGAAAATCCAGATCCATACCAACATCTTCTTCTAGATCCACATTCGGGAATCAACGAAGATGTATCATCAGCAATAATGAGTAAGCTTGGAGCAATATGGAAGAAAAAAGATAATTTGATGGAAACTCAAGAGTTTCTCGAACTAATGAGAAAAACAAACGCAAAGCAGTTTGAGCTGGCACAGCATATTATATGGTTATTAACTTCGAAAAACCCACTCCCATTACAGCTGTTTTTGACTGGTCCTGCTGGATGTGGGAAAACTTTTCTCATTAAGCTGATTATGGAAATTTGTAATCGGTTCACAGATACTGATGGTTAATGTAACGCATATCTCGCTTGCGCTTCAACAGGGAAAGCTGCGGTTGCCATAGGAGGTACCACTGTTCATACTGCGTTTAAAATCACTCTTTCTAGTTTTCAAACGCCATTATCGAACGAGGTTAAAGGTTTATATAGAACTTTATTCCAGTATGTCAAGATGATACTCATCGATGAGGTCAGTATGATCAGGGCAGAAATGTTAGAACGCATAGATTTAAGATTGAAAGAAATAACAGGAAATTTTGATTCCGCTTTTGGTGGATTGCACATCATTTTTATTGGTGATTCAAGGCAGTTACCTCCAGTTAGAGCAACTCCCATTTGGAAACAAAAAATACAACGCATTGATGGCCAACAGTTGTGGAAAGGATTTAATTTCTATGAATTGACCGAAGTTATGAGACAAGAAAATGCTCAATTCTCTTCATTGCTAACAAAAGTTGGCAATGGAAATCGATTAGATGAACAAGAATTGCAACTGATTGAATCGAGGTTTTGTTCAGAGGCAGAAGCGACGGAATGTTGTCCAAGTGGTATTCGATTATTCAATGATAATCAATCAGTCGATGCATATAATTTGAAAATATTAAGTTTATCTAAGGAAACAACGAATTCACTCGCTGATGACGAATTACATGGTTGTCAAGGTGATCGCGAAAAAGAAAGGGCCGCAAGAGCGAAATTGTACAAACTTAGTACAATTGACACAGGAGGATTACCATACGAAATTATCTTCGTTCTAGATAAACCCTACATGATAACAACAAATGTCGATGTTGCTGATGGGCTGGCCAATGGAGCGGTAGGCAAATTGGCACATGTTGAATTGGGTGTTGATAATAAAATTTTACGAGTTTGGCTTATTTTTCCCAATGGCGATGGTGCTAAAGTACATGCAAAAACGGCTGGCTATGCAATTTTAAAAGGAATAAGTAGTTTAGCAGTTCCTATCAACCGCAGATCCGCAATAATTCCTCTTAATCGGAATAAATCATTTCATGTAAAGAGAAACCATTTTCCATTAAAACCAGCTTGCTCACTGACGATTCATAAATCGCAAGGCGGAACCTTTGACGAAATTGTTTACAATTACAGTAAAACACATTCACAGTCTTTAGTTTACGTAGTCTTATCCAGAGTCACGGCTCAAGAAGGACTTCATATTGTACCTAGTGATGGACATCAACGTTTTTACCATGGTAGACGAGAAAATGAGACAATGCTCCTGCTACAAAACGAATTCACCTGGC